CAAAACACCTTTTATTTCCTTGTTTTATTCTACTTTGCATTTCAGTTTTAATCAATAGTTTTTATTTATACTTTTTTAACATTTCTGATCCTTAAACCTGACTAATTTTCCGTTGTTTTTAAGTCACTTTATGATCAGTCAACCGCTCCGCCATAACAAGTGGTGTCTTTCGTCGCTGAAGGATTTAAATAGTGGGTGTTTGTACGTTTTTGAGATGAGTGTTTTTCTGGAGTGGAGCCGAACAGGGAATGCAGGTAAACCTTAATGTTTTTAGTGCAAGATATTCAAGTGTGAAAGAGAAGAGAGGGAGGGTGTTACTTTTATTTTGCTTGTCCGAGGCGGTGCAGAGTGGCAGATCCTGGAAAGTGGAGGGAGCGATATTATCCACCACCACGTGCAGTGGTGGAGCCAGAGGGTGGCCAGTGGTGGCCTTGACCACCATAGATTAATCATCAGCCTCCGCAATCATTTGAGAAAACTATACTTTTATGCATTATGATAAAAACTAGATGCAGACAAGCATCAAATGATGAGGCCAGTCCACACACACACACACACACAGAGAGACATGTGTGTGTTATGGGCCTAATGAACGTAGCCATTTGATGAGACAATATTTTAGCTGTTGGACTCTTGCCTTATAATCCAGCTGTTTTTCTTACTTTTTTTGCCATCTTATGTATATTTAAAAAAAAAAAAAATCTGTATGTATTTTTATAACTGTCCATTGTTGTCATCATTCTTTGTTGAAATCAGGTCTCTCTTGTAAATGAGTCCTCGAGGCTCAATGGGATTAATCTGTCTAAATAAAGGTTGAATTTGAAAAAAAAAGCAGTTACATATGTGAAAACAGTATGTGTATACATAGGGACGACTCTGATATTTATTGTGAAAAGATTTAGTGATGATGTTTTGGTTTTTATTTTGGTTATGATAAAGGGGATAAAGGGGGGTGGGCTCCACTTAGTGGTAAAATCAAACAAGTTGGGAGCTGAGTGGATGTGTCGCTCTTCTGTCACATTTCAGGGGCCGTAACACCCGAACATACTGGTATATAAATATGGCGGTGGCCATCTTGACAAGGCAACCCTATTTTTGATAGTGACCTTTTTTATTTCTAGATGCAGCCGAACAGCAAACTGGAAAGCGATACCTCACCTATTTTTCAGGTTATCATGCTCACAGCGTGGTTGGTCAGACGACCAGACAGAGGGTATTTCCACTTCCCCCTCTTCTCTCTGCGACTGGGAAAAAAATGCTGCTAACTTCAAACATGAACTCGTGTACTGTTGAAAAATAACACGCAAATGAACAAAAAATCCATTTCAAACGGGATTTTTTTAGGCATTTTGTTACTTTGCCTGTCACAAATACACATTTTGAACCTGTTTTAGTTGGATTTATGAGAAATAACAGTTTGACCGAAAGTCTGTTTTAGCTCCGAGGCGATTCCTAACTAACTATTAGCTAAAAGGTGACATACAGTAAATAATCAGCTGAAGAACGAGTGATGGACAGTCCTGATGTATCAGGATTCTAAGAGACTATTGATTGCTTCCAGCTTGGTGGCAACAATCTTCAGTGGTTGAAACAAAGCCAACATTTATTTTGTTTGATTAAAAAAAAACATCTAAATGACCATAAATCAAACAGATGGTCCAAGGTTTCATCTTTCTAACAGCTACAGTACAACTGTGACTGTTCTGCCCAGGCAGTTTCACAACAGGAACAGAGCTTTGTGAATACAAAAAGTCTTTTTTTAATTAATTTATCATTTTAGCCTTTGATCTATGCAGAAATTTTGTCTTAGGAGCCCCTAAACACTATTTTTTGAAAACGGGTTCCAGAGATTGAATAAAGCAAAAACCCCTTATAACCCAAAGGAGATGTTTATTCATCATCAGTCCACAAGAAGGAGCTGGTTTTAGGAACCTGGTTTCAGAGCTTGTATTTTCCATCTTCGTCTTTATTTTCTTATGTTCACAGTTTGGAGCATCTGCTCGTCCTCTTTGCTGCTTTTTTGTTTTTCATGGTGGTGTTACGGTGCCGCAAACAGTCCTGGTATATTTACTACAGCGTTTACGTCCTTTTCTGTGTTCCAGTGTGATGAAAACATTTCTAGAATCAGTTCTGTGTTTACTGTAAAATAATTGTTGTGGATGGACGACGTCACCGTGTGGATGAAGTCTAAAACGACTTGCTGGCCTCATTAGGACGCTTTCTTCAAGCAACGACCTAAAAACTCACAGGATGGAGGAGTGGGTCAGCAGCTCATGTGACCGAACGACCCTGACGGTGGTTGTTGTAGCGATGACTCACATGAAGTAAACAGGGAAAGACTTTAAGGAAGACCTTTTTCTGTTCCAGCATGACGGTGCCTCGGGGCTCCAAGCGACGACTATAAAGACATGAATTGATGAGTTTGGTGTGGAAGAACTTAGTCTGGAGGATTAAAGTTTGTAACGGGAGTTGAAAACAACTAGTGGTCAGATCTTTTTCACAGTGCTGTATTAATTATGATTCACGTATGATAAACTGATGGTACCACACAGGAAAAAAGGCCAAATTATCTAAATGTTGTTCATGTTGCGCATAATTCCGAAAAATATAACAGAACGATTCATCACAGAATGTGTTTTTACGTATTTTGCTGTCTTATTCTTAATGAATATCTTTGTAATTGTTGGAACTTATTATAATTTTGAAGGTATTTGTGTAACGTAATGCCTTTCAACTGCAGGAAGTGGTTTCTAGACGTTGCTAAGACGACAAAGTGAGAAAAGCGTCGGACAGGATAAATGCATGAGTTCTGCCTTGACCCTGATAAGAGTAGTCTGACATTTTGTGCTACATTCAACAAGCACAAAGCCTCGTGTGGGGCACATTGCTTCAGAAATGCAAAGGTTAACAGCAGTTTATTGCACAAGCTTTAGGGAGGGAGTGGAGGTAATGGTGGGTGAAGGCAGAAGGCTGAGGCAAAAAGCCAAGGGCTGCAGGAGAAGGAGTGAAGCCGGTGAGTTAACAGCAAGAAATCTGTGGAGCAGACGGAGCAGGGAGGCAGGTTAGAGCAGAACTTTAGCACCACACTGGGTGGCTGAGCAATCTTGTGGAGGGTGGAGGAGAAACTGTGCTGTAAGCAGCGCTGCACTGATGAGTCTGTAGGAGACGGGCATGTAGGCCGATGCAATCAGGAGGCTGGGAGGAGGTGGAGGGAAGCTTGTTTTCCAACATGAAAACCCACACACATTCAAATAAAACACGATTCAGTTCTTATCGCTGCTTATTACTTTATCTGAGACAAGAGGAGTTCAGGCACCGCACATTCAACGTGAGCTTCAGATCAGCTGCAGCGTCTGTCCGGTTCAAATGTTTTCATCTAGATGTTTAAACTGATGCTTAAAATGTGTTTCATTCAAATCACAGCCCTCCAGAGCGACCGACTTTCGTTTTTAAAGCGCTTCAGAAGAGGGACGTTCTTGATTCTGCGCAGTTAGAAATATTCAGTGGAAGGATGGAGGAGAGAGAAACAATAAAAGTAAATAAAATTAACGCAGGGAAACACAGGAGAAAGAAAAGACACGCTGTCACAACAAGCATGTGTTAGGAGGGAAAGATTACTTAAATTAAAAACATTTTTAAAAAACTTTTCCTAAAGCTGTTGTTCTGATCTTTTGAAGCGGAGATCTGTGGAGAAGTTATTTGTCCTTTGTTCATTAAAACGTGCACGACACAACGTATACTTGATTGTTCTGTGTGACAAAATTTGTAAAACCGTAGCTAAAACTTTAAACAAGCACCTAAAAAATAAAATTAGCTAAACCGTCGCTAACGGCTCAAAATTTGCTCAACCGTAGCTAAAAGCTACACAAAACAAAACGAAATTAAAATAGAGCTCTTATGTTGAAGCGCATTTCTAAGAGAAAGTTTTGAAGGAATTGAAGAGATCTCAACGTGTTTCGGGACAAGTTTGTAATTAAGTTAAATGTTTGGAAAAGTATAAAAACGACTAAAGCCAAAGGTCAGAGCACCCGTCTTCTGAATGAGCTGCATATTTAGTTTATGAAAGGATAAAACACCGCAGAGCATGCACAAGTTTTATTTTAATTTTTTAAAGCATAGAAGAAGCTTGAAGCAGGATATTAAAAGAGCGAACCAGCATAAATTGTCCATGCGTATATTTATTTCACAAATAATTTCTCTGCGTGGTAAATCTGCACCAAATTTCACGACCAATTACTGCTTTAAATATGTCCAACTTATCCATGGGCATAAAATATAAATAAAATGTGTCAAACCTCCGTCAGTGGTCCATTTATTTATCACTTCATGTGTATCAGAGGATCAGCCAGGTCTCGGGCTGCTGCGTGTTGTTGTGAAGTACTGCATGTGTTTGTTGTTTCAAAGGGAGCATGCCAGACTGGACGTGTCCCCGCTGCAGCTGCACACCGTCCAGCCCCGGCTCCAGCCATAAAACGCTCCAGATGAAGGTGGAATTGATTTCCCCTCGCATGACTCTGAGAGCAAGGTGGCTGCCTCGCTGAGTGGCTCTCCACTGCGCCGCCCGTCCCTCCTGACCTCCGGTTGCAGCAGCAAAGTGAAATGATGACACGTTATGAGTGGACAAAGGGCCATCAGGCCTGGGATTATCCGGAGTGTTTGTTGACGATGACTCTAGACGTGTGCGAGTGTTTTCAGCGAAGCGTCACTTTGAGACGTGCGTTCAAAGCTTCGTAACCTTTGTTGTCTGGCAGCAGGTGCTGGACTCCATCTCAAGTCCCCACACCCACCGCCTGCTTTGATAGACTGAGAGTTATTGACACACGGATTCAGGACGCGCTGGAACAAACACCAGCGCTGAGCTTTAGTCTAAAAGCGTCTTGTCGTGGGCTTTATGAGTTTTGAAAAATACAATAAAGCTCTCGTCCATTCTGGACTTCACGTCAGTCAGTCGTGCAGAGATCCAATAAAAGCTTGTGTTGTGTTTTTTCCTCCCTCTGCAGGTTGAGTCTCCGCTGGCAGTGGACGCGGTGCTCGGGGAGGCGGCCTTCTCCGTCACAGATGACAAGGTGTCCATCACAGAGCTGCGAGTCCACGCCGTCTCCGGCCTGAGCCTGTCTCTGCAGCCCAGCCCCGGCAACAGCCACACCATGGTGGCCAAGGCCACCGGCGCCCACACGCTCACGGCTCTCAAACAGGTGAGTCACCAGTCAGACACTTTAAGACAGGGCTATTCAACTGGCGGCCCGGGGGCCAAACAGGCCCACTGGTGAGCTCGGCCCCTCAGTGGGTTCATTTTCAAATAAAACTAGACTTTAAACCGTAAAACAAACCAATAATAGGAAAAGCTATCAATCTTTGAAGGAATGCATATCACCTGATGACTTTCATCCTATTTTTTTTTTTTTTTTTTAACTAATGTAATTTTGGGAGATCAGCTAGAGCTCGACATATATATAAGGATGACTCTCAGCTGGTACCACAACAGATTTTAGCTCAATATACGTATATCTGACTGAGTTTTAGCTGTTTTTGTGTGGCTAATGTTGATTATCTGTGGCAGTTGTCTTAAAGGGGCTACAAAAGTAAACAGTTGTAGATACAATAGTCCCTTTGCGGTTCCACTTTCGCGGACTCACTCTTTCGCTTTTTTCAACGATTGTCAACTTTAATATTACTCACGTGATAGGGACGGTACGAGATAAGAAGTTAACTGAAAAAAAATACTTTGGACAGGCGCCGCCATTTTGTAGTTTTCTTTCAATAAGCCTACACTGTAAGGCCAGTCAAAGAACTACACTACCCAGAAGCCAACAGTGTTTCCAGACACTACTTTCTGGTGAAATGGGGGGATGTTTTGCAACACAAATCTACGCTATCTATTAAGTTCACAGAACTGGTAGGAAAGTCACAAATAATCCTGAAGCTCAATTATCCACGTGCACATCGCCCTGGACGGGGTGGTGGGCTTCGTCGCTGCAGGTCTGCAGAACCAGAACCGAGCCCAACCGGTCTGCAGAGCTGGAGAGTAAAATGTTGCAGTACTGTACAGCACGTATACGTATGTTGCTCAAATTATGTAGGTTTAAGAGTTTAGAACATTGCAAGAGTGTGGGAAGGGTTTATAAAGCCTTAAAATATATAAATACTTAAATAAATATAGCGTTCATACTTCGTGGTTTTTCACCTATCGTGGGTGTGTGTGGAACATAACCCCGGCGACTACTGTATACATCCCGTGATTACTTTCTGAGAGTTTCATCAAAATGTGTCCAGTTGTTCATGAGATATTTTACTAACAAAGTTGACTCCAACAGTCTTATCTGCAGCAGGTCATAATTAATACGTCAGACGACGCACATAACGGTCAGCCATTGGCTCTCAGGAAATCATCCCACACGACATCGAAGAATCAGACCCAGTTTCTCTAAAGCCTCCTCAGATGTTTACATCATGTTTTATTCTACAGGTAGATGACAAAGATGCTGGTTGCTCCACAAGTTTTATACATAATTATAAAACTGTATACTTGTGTACCTTAGCTACACAACAGAGAGTTTAGCCACCACTGCTTTTATTGGCTGAGAAATGCAAACAAGTTGTTGAGTTTATTTCACCCAAAAAACACATCCTAATCAGGGAGAAGCAAAGATATGCTGCGCACGTTTAGTTTTGTTGCGCTGGCATCAATTTGCATGTCAAGATGTGGAATTCTTCCATGTGAGAGCCGGATCAATGGGCCTGTTGGAAAATTAGATTTGACTGGAATCACTAAATGTTCCTGTTACAAATCTACTGATTGTCTGTTGGTGTCGATCATGAACTATCTGGATGCAAGAGCACGTGAGAAGTGAGAAACTTTTTCTCTTACTTTTGCAAAAAAAGTGATTCGATTTTTAAATAAATTCTAAATTTTTATTATTTGCTGTAAAATTCAGTGCTCAAAGTTGATTAAAGCAAAATGCTAGGTTAAAAAAAAACAAAGAAATCAAAATGGTAGTTAAAAGTTAATTACATCAAAAGGCTAACTAAAAGCTACTTGTATCAAGAACTGTTGAGGCTAATAGTTATAGAATATCAGCTAAAACCAGCAAAAAATAAGTAAAAAGGGAGGGTATCAGAAGGTTAGCTACAAGCTAAAAGTAGCTAAATGATTACTTATAGCTAAAATTATCAAAAGACTAGAAAAAATGTAAGAGTAGCAAAGACCTAGCAGAAATATCAAAACTCTCTTAAAACTAAAAGTAGCAAAGAGCTAGATAATAGTAGCTGAGCAGAACCTAAAATTCAAAAATACCGAAGAGTAGCTAAAGGTAGCTAGCTAAAAGTATCAGAACAGCAGCTAAAAGTAGCAGAAGGCAAGCTAAAGGTTAAAAGTAGCAGCACAGCAGCTTAAAACTAAAAGTAGCATAAGAAAAATAGTTTGATCAAGCAGATTTTAGGAGAACAGTTTTAGAAGAAATAGAAAATGTCAATGGATATGGAGAAACTATTTGTAAATAGAGTAAAAAATAAAAGCATAAATGTTACAACAATCTAAAGTCAGCATCCATCTCCTGAATCAGCTGAACGATTTGACAGATGAGTTGATGCACAAAGTGTGCAGAAATAGTTGGATTGCAACAAACCTACAGAAAAATGAAACAAGAAGACGCCAACAGTGTGATGATCTCTGACCCGTTACTGAAGAAGTATTTTAGAACGACCACGCTTGGGAAGTTTAACTATGATGAGATTGATGAGCTAACAGCTAGCTGACCCATTAGCTCATCTGAAAGGAGATTTCTGGCATCTTAGAACAACCTAAAACTCAAAAGTGTCATAGAGGTTGACACAAACATTATTTTATAAACCTTTACACAAATGTGACTTTTAACGATTATTCCAGCAAAAATATAATGTTGCTGCTTGAAGTGCCCGTTGAAGTGTTACAGCTACCGTATTTTCCACCACCGCCCTAAAAGTCACATCAGTCCAAATATGTGTAATAAAGTGGGAAAATCTATGAATACATCGCTTCGCCGTACACGTCGCATCTATTACACGTCACCGCTGACCACCCGGAAATGTGGGCCAGTGTTGTGCCAAAAATCGATTGGCTTTCAAATGGCGGCTGCGGGAGCGTGCACAGGAGGACTTTTAACAAGAATTTAACAAGATTAACATTTTAAAATGATAATTTCTTTGCTCTAAATTATAGTAAAGGTGTGTCTCAGTTTAACTTTTCTTTAATAAATGCACTTTGACGGTCAAATCAGCTGCATTTCAAAAGCCAATTCACGGCCGCGGCGCGCAGAGTGACGACTCGTTGTGCATTTCTTCAAAATTTAACAAGATAACCACCTAAAAACGATTATTTGTTTACTCGACTTTATAGTAAAGGTGTCTCTCAGTTGAACTTTTACTTAATAAATGCACTTCAATGGTCAAATCAGCTGCATTTTTCTGGGGCGGCGCAGCGAAATGAAGCTGATTTGACAGTTGCTCCAAGCGAGCTGGATGAAGGTGGCAGGTTATGGCAAGCCGACTGTGTCATTAATAGCTACTTTTACCTATTACATGACACAACAGCATGCCACACTACTCAAGTGCCATCTAGCGGCTGAAAATGGTAGTGTTCAATATTTTCAGTCAGAATTAATAAAAATGGTTTTATCTCAGCCAAAATTTGGTTTATAAATATGGGAAAAACATAAATACATCACTTTGGCGTATAAGTTGCAGGGCATGAAAATTTTGCAAAAAATCACAACTTAGTGGCTGAAAATGATGGTAGCTTGCTAGCTGCCACTCTTTCAACATGCAAATAACAAAAAAAAAAAATTATAAGATGTTGAAGTTTATCAAATAAAGTTTATAAAATGCTCTCGTGAATGAATTTTCGAGACCGGAGTTGTTTTAAGATCACAGTAACCCACTTTAGTTCTAGCTCCATCCATATTAGCTGTTAGCGCCTCGATCTTGTCAGAAATAAACTCTATTCATCTGAACGGAGGCCATTCGAGGAGCTATCCACAGCAGGTAAAATGCTGATTATTTTACAGAACTTCACTTCCAAAGATGGAAACCATGAGTTTAAGGGCCTACGATGGAGAAATGTTGCTGATCGTCCGTGTGTTTCCTTTATTCGTGCATCTGAGTTGTGAAATTAAGTTGATTTGCACATCTCTTTGGCAGCTCGCTTCAACAAGAACAAGTTTATATTTTGAGAAATAAAATGATTTCCACGCTGACGGCATAAAAACAGCAGTAAGTAAGTTTTATTACAAACCCCATATTAATTAAGCCGCTTCTCGTCCAAATGCAGGAGAGAACGTGCGTGTGTGGTTTTGATTTGCGACTGCGTGGCAAAGCTTGCAGAGAATAATGTCTGCATCACCTCGGTGCTCCTCCAGCTCTGCCCTTTCTCTGGCCCTCGTGTTGCTAAAAATGCAACGACAACCACATCGGGCACGAGTGAGGGAGAAGCAGCCATTAAATTCCCATTTTTCTTGCTTTCCGCTTCTTGGCCACCTTGAAATTTAATTATTGTAATGTATTGTCCTAAGTGCTCTCCAAGGCCGGGCCGTAAAAGGCAGCCAATTCCTCCGCCGGCAGACCTCTCAGAGGACCGCTGGAGCTATTTCAACCCATTTGGTTCTGTTTCACAGCAAAACTTTCTAAATGTCCTCTGTTCTTCGGGAAAGGAATGAAACGCATAAACTGCGGCGGGCAGAGTTTTACAATCCAGCCTGCTTTGCATTTTTCCTCTTTTCATTTCATCGACGAAGTTCAATCACTTTCAGCTTCAAAGCCGTCGGGTTTTGAAGGTTCTTTGTGAAGCATCTCCGTCGCTGTGATGGCCTCACTAACTTAAATGAGCGTCGATAGGAGACGGTTTTGAACCTGAATAGTTTATTTACATCTGGAGCTGCTGCAAATGTTTCCACTGCTTATGAATGATTTATGGCCCGAGCTGTACGGTTTATGAAGGACGCCGTGAAGCACAAACCAAAGACAGAAAACTTCATCACTTTAGCATCTTGATGGGAATGCAGGCGTTATAGTTATATAAGGGCGGACAATAACGTTTTTGTGAGTCTGTGAGCAAAATATCCCATGAACTACTGGGCAGATGATAATGAAGCTTTCAGAAAATAATCACTTCTCCAGCTGGCTAACTTTTGGTTCCAACCTAATTAAAGATGGCATCAGAGAACATAATTTTGGACCACTCAGCAGCAGTTCCAGGCGAGACGCTTCTGACGCTGTCTCTTGTTCAAGAGTGGCGCCGCTTGACACAAGGAATGCGACAGCTGAAACCAGTGTCTTGCATACGTCTGTGCGTGGTGGTTCTTGAAGAACTGACTCCAGCTGCAGTCCACTCTTTGTGAATCTCCCCCACATTTTGGAATGGGTTTTGTTTCACAATCCTCTCCTGGGTGCGTTTATCCCTATTGTTTGTACACGTTTTTTCTACCACATCGTTTCCTTCCCTTCGCCTCTCTATTAATGTACTTGGACACAGAGCTCTGTGAACAGCCAGCCTCTTTAGCAATGACCTTTTGTATCTTACCCTCCTTGTGCAAGGTGTCAATGGTCGTCTTTTGGACAACTGTCAAGTCATCAGTCTTCCCCATGATTGTGTAGCTACAGAACTAGACTGAGACCATTTAAAGACCTTTGCAGGTGTTTTGAGTTAATTAGCTGATTAGACTGTGGCACCAGGCGTCTTCAATATTGAAGCTTTTCACAATATTCTAATTTTCTGAGATACTGAATTTGGGGTTTTCGTTAGTTGTCAGTTATAATCATCAACATTAAAATAAATAAACATTTGAAATATATCAGTCTGTGTGTGGTGAATTAATATAATATACAAGTTTCACTTTTTGAATGGAGTTACTGAAATAAATCAACTTTTTCCACGATGTTCTAGTTTGATGAACAGCACCTGTAGATGTGCATCTGTTCTGCAAAGCTGAAAACTGCTCGAACTTTCCTTCCTCTGTCGCGCGTCCTGACGGTGAGCAGCTGATGTTTTAGCAAGCTGTGAACATAGACTGTCAAACGCTGCCTGATTACAGACTCTGGCGGGGTCCAGATGAGCGTTGTCAGGTAGCCACCACGCAGAATCTGAAGCATTTCATCCAGTGTCTCCGCAGGGGGAATACAGATGGTGCGCAGTGACAGGAAATACAAAATGAGACCATCGCGCTCAGCAAACACAGGCAGGAACTCATCATTGGAGGCACACACGCTGCTGCCGTGCCTCTTGTCTGTGTGTGTGTTGGAGCTTTGAGGACAGTCGGGCCGTTCGCCGGCCGCCCTCCTTCCTCCTCGCTTGAAAGCAGTTTGCTCGTGCACACATCAGAGGCAGGGAGCACGCTAAGGCTTGTACAGAACACAGGGTGCTACGAGCACTTCACAAATACTCTGGAGATTTAAGGATTGGAGCAAGTCCAGATCTTCAAAGAGTGCAGCTGGGAACTCATTCAGATCACGGTCAGAAAGAGAAGGAGCCATCGCACAGACAGCTTCTTTTTCTTTTGTTTACTTTAAAAAAAAATTATTAGTGTTATGTATGGATGAGAATCAAATTTAGGTGGGGGGGTGGGGTGTCTTGAAAGACTAAATTAAATGAAGGCACATAAAGTATATGATGTGAATGATTTTCAGCTAGCGGCACGGTGGCGCAGTTGACAGAGCTGTTGCCTCTCAGCAAGAGAGTTACCGGATCAAATCCTGGCCAGGGGCCTTATCGTGCCAGTGATTTATTGAGGTACAGTAACTACAGGTCAGCTAGCTCTGAGTCACTGTTTGGCCGTGACCCACGCCAGAGCTCCTGAGCTTCACTCTACAGGAGCCTCCCGAATCATCACACAGATGCAGAAGCAAAACCACAACCCATACTCATTTCCCAACAACCCTAGCGGCTCAAGCAGAGCATGCCATACAAAACCAGTAACAATGAAACAAGAATAATTAACATGTAACAGTAACTCCTCAAGGATCACCACCCCTCCCACGATAATGTTGCTAACAGCACCATGCTGCTAACAGCACCATGTTGCTAACAGCACCAGGTTGCTAACAGCACCATGCTGCTAACAGCGCCATGTTGCTAACAGCGCCATGTTGCTAACAGCGCCATGTTGCTAACAGCGCCATGTTGCTAACAGCGCCATGTTGCTAACAGTGCCATGCTGCTAAAAGCACCATGCTGCTAACAGTACCATGCTGCTAACAGCACCATGCTGCTAAAAGCACCATGCTGCTAACAGTACCATGTTGCTAACAGCACCATGCTGCTAAAAGCACCATGTTGCTAACAGCACCATGTTGCTAACAGTACCATGCTGCTAACAGTACCATGCTGCTAACAGCACCATGCTGCTAACAGTACCATGCTGCTAAACCATGCTGCTAACAGCATCATGCTGCTAACAGTACCATGCTGCTAAACCATGCTGCTAACAGCACCATGCTGCTAACAGTACCATGCTGCTAACAGCACCATGTTGCTAAGATAACCTCACTGCCCACAAAACCACTCTGCTAATCGGACCATAAATGTATTTCTTTTTCACTTTTGGCACCTTGTTTTTGTATTTTTGTTGCATTCTTTGGCATTTCTTGTTGTTTTTTGGCGAGTCAAATCAGTTCTTCTCACCCTGAGTATTTCATTGCATTGTTGACCTTGTGTATTCTGCATATGACAAATAAACCTAAACCTACAGGGGGCCATTCTGTCCCTGTGCAGGACCACCTTCCTGCCTCTAGGGGCCAACTGCACCCATCTGTCAGATTCAATGAGGTACATCTGTAAATGTAGACCGAGTTAGATTAGTTGGGGTGAGCATCTTGAATTGGTTTCACTCCAAATATTAATCCGTTGTAGATGTGCAGCCAACAATAATTTATTTCCTAGAGTTCATTTACCATCCTTCATATGTACAAACTGATTTAACTTTTGTCCGTCAGGTTTAAAATGTCATCACAGTCAGCTGACCTGAACAAACATCAACACGGCTTTAACTTGGTCAGTTTTACTAAACTGAACTAAACCTTTGTGTGGTAGTAGCTTACTGTCAGTCACAACACAATTTCCAGTACCTTAATATCAAATGAGGTTATGCAGAATTTTATTTTTGAGGTTCAAACATCAGCAGCTTCATTTTTTTTGTCTAAAGCTGAACCACGATGGCAGCAGGGGATTTGCATTTCTTCATGGAAGGAGATGTTTTTAATTTTATAAAGTCGTAGCTACTTCTCAGTATGACTTTAGGTAAATGCGTCTCTGCTTACAGTGATCTAGACTGTAGTATTTGTAACATTTTATATTAGTCAAATTCAACCAACTTTCTTGTTTGATGCCAAGAAACACTAAAGACTTTAGTGAACCATAAAATCCTAATGATTTAATTTCACCCATAAATCTTCCTGGTTTGTGATCACTTAACGATTTGAAACAATCAAAAGTTGTTTTACTTAAAAATAAACTTCCAATCTGTTCTGTTTTTTCTCTGACAGGAGGCCAGTTTGTCTGTCTGGATGCTTTTCAGTGACAACACAGCCACCCCTCTGATTTACTTTGATCCCAAAGACTACAACCTCAACGCCTCTTCGCTGGATGACAAAGTCGTGTCGATAACCCAGGAGCCTCAGCAGCGCTGGCCTGCAGTGGTGGCAGAAGGCGAGGGATCCGGCGAATTGGTGCGTGTAGAGATGACCATCTGTGAGGCCTGCCAGAAGACCAAACGCAAAAGTGTCATTGCATCTGCTATGGTTCATGTCAAAGTTCGCTTTGGCCCGGAGGAGGACTCCGAGGAAGAGGCAACCACGGAGGGTGAAATTGAGCTGGCTCCCATCACCAGGCGGACAATCATTGATCCCAACATCAATGGAAGAATTTACGAGACTTCTAATGAGCAGCCTGCCAGTGTTCCCATTGATTACACCAATTTCCCCACAATTAGCAACCAAGAGCGGCCGACTGAGAGTGCTGAGGAGGAAGAGGATGACTTTGTTCATTCACCTCGCAACATGACAGACCTTGAAATTGGCATGTATGCCCTATTAGGTGTCTTCTGCCTGGCTATTTTAGTGTTTCTTATCAACTGCATTGTCTTTGTGCTAAAATATCGCCATAAGCGCATCCCGCCTGAAGGACAGGCCAACATGGACCATTCCCACCACTGGGTGTTCCTTGGAAACGGCCAGCCCTTGAGGGCCCAGTGTGATCTGTCGCCACAGCAGGTGGAAAGTCCCAGCAACCCTTTGGAGGGTGTACAGACTTGCTGCCATGCGGACCACCACAGCAGTGGCAGCTCCCAAACTAGCGTTCACAGCCAGGTTTATGGAAGGGGGGACGGTAGCTCTGGAGGGTCCACAAAGGATAATGGTGAGGAGGCCAGTTCGCCCACCTCCAAGCGCAAGAGAGTCAAGTTTACCACGTTTACCACCCTTCCCACAGAGGAACTGCCCTACAACTCCATCCCAATTGCAGACGAGGAGGACATTCAGTGGGTTTGCCAGGATATGGGCTTTAAAGACCCAGAGGAATTACATGATTACATGCGCAGAATAAAAGAAATAGCCTGAGATAGGAGGCGCCACTCGCAGCTTTCTAAAATAAAAGACAGCTCCTTTCTATTTTTCTCTTTTTCACACAAGTGAAAGCGAATTTTTCACAGACTAAAAGGCCAAGAGTCGTTTGGGTTAGGGTTTGTTCCGTGTAGTTTGCACAGTGCTGTAGAATCATACACCCTCACACAGAAGAGAATGCAAGGAAGCCAAAGACTTGACCAGAGGATCTCGGTCCATAGAGACGTCTGTAAATCTTGGCTATAGCAAACGTGTCTCACTTGGAGGCTGAGCCATGAACACATAAACAAGAGCTGCTTCAGCTCCTTCTTTTTCAGGAAACGGCTCTTGCAGAGGTCTGAAACGGATCCAAGCGTTGAAGAGGATATATTAGCAGCTGTGTCTCAGTGGCTCGGCAGGACCTAACAGTACTGTACCTATTCCAAACGAAGAGGCCTTTGATGAACAAAGAACTGTCAAAGACTCTAATTAGACCTGTTTATTTTATTTTTTTCTGCCAAAGTAGGAGCAGAATTACTTTAATGGCAAATCGTTTTTGTTGTTTGTGCAGCACATTCATGATTTATATTCATTACTTACATTTTCTACATTTCGTAGTTAGCTTGACGCAGTGCCCTACTACAGGACCCGGTGTTTCTGACAAATATAATGCCTTATTATTTAAAAAATGGCGATGGTTCACTTCTTAAAACAATGGGAACACGCTGTTTTCTCACTATCAAGAGGCTAGAGACATTTAAGTACAATCCCAATTCTGGAAAAAGTCGGCAAGTTGTGTAAAATGTAAATAAAAACAGAATGCAATGAACTGTAAACCTCATAAACACATCTTTTGTTTATAATAGTAAACGTGTCAAATTTTAAACTAAGAAATTGTACCCTTTTTTTAAAAAATAAGGTCATTTAGAATTTTATGGCAACAATTTTTTTTTTTAAAGTTAGGCCCACTGTGAAGCCTCCCTGTTTCTTGTTACAACAGTCTGTGAACATTTAGGACCTGAGGAGACCAGATGTTGATTTTAGAGGGAACACTGTCCCATTCTTGTCCGTTGTAAGATTCTAGCTGTTTAACGGTCGTAGATCTGTGCTGAATGGGAGAATATGGTGTTCAAAACCAGTGTACACGTTCCTGCATTGATGGAGCCAGATGTCTACTCTGTCCATGACAGAGGTACTAATGCACCCCCATACCATCAGAGAGGTTTTTGAACTGTGTCCTGACTAACGGACAGGATGTCCCTCTCCTCTGTAGCATGGAGGAAATGGCATTCAAAGTTTCCAAAAACAATTTCACATTTTATTCATCTGACCACAGACCAGTTTTATACGTTGTCTAAGAGCTTTGATCCAGAGAAGACGGCAGCGGTTCTGGATGTGCTCACATCTGGCTTCTTCTTTGCCTGATAGAGCTTTAAGCAGCATCTCTTGATGGCACGGTGAACTGGGCTTACAGACAGTGATCTGTGGAAGTGTTCCTGAGCCCAGAACAGAACCAGACCTGTTCATAGTGCAGTGGCCCCTGAGGGCCCAAAGATCACCAAATTCAATATTGATTCTCAGCCTTGTCCTTTAGGCTCAGAGGTTTCTACAGATTATTGAAATATTTTGATATTTTGAACAGTAGATGATGGGATATTCAAAGTCTTCCCAGTTTTTATTTGAGGAACTTTATTCTGAAATTGTCCCATTTTTTGGTGCAGCCTGGTAAACCCCTGACCATCTTCTGAAAGATTCAACATCACTAAAATATATATTTTTTTATACCCAGTTCTCATAACCCGATGCCAGTTACCCCAGTTAGTTGCAAAATGCTCCTCCAGCTGTTTCTTATTCACATGGATCACTTTTACAGCCTTTTGGTTACCCCCGTCCTAACTTTTTGAAACGTGTTGCTGCTATAAAATCCTAAATTACCCTATTCCACGTTGGCACAATTTATGAATTTAAACGCTCCAATGGGGGGGAAAAATTAGAAGTTGAATAAAAATCAAATCTCAAAAATATAAATATATAAAATATGCTTATTATTGCTTTTTTTTTTTTTTACATTTTTCACAACCTCCCAACTTGTTTGGAAGTTGTAAAACGCTTCAGCTGCTCTGCAGCACGAAGAAAAGGATCCTGAGGCACAAATTCACCTTTTTTCCCCAAGTTTGTAAATGTTCATATTGTAATTAAATAATTATTTATACACATTACTCAGCTAAACATGTTATCATGCATTAAGTGCATGCCATGTCCGGCCTACATGCAGCCATTCCTCGGTGTATATAAATGTGTTGGGCACTTCAAATTCTTTACTCAGTCCGAGGCGGAGTCGTCTGAGTCTGCTGGAAGTTTTGGAACCTTTAAATTCTCGTTGGCTCTCAAGTTCCCCTGATGTACATTTTTAACACACTGGCGTCACATTTGACTGTTAAACATGGAAATTTTCTATGCATCGGGACTTAAAATCTTTTAATTTATTTTCCTCCTCTTAAAATTGGCTGTTCTGCAGCCTCCGAGGGACGAGAAAATTTAGAACGTCTCAAGTTGGAAACGTACTGAACGCAAAAGTCGATAAATTCATCTGGAAATGTGACCGACGCTCCAACAAGGTCAGTTAATGTCGCTGATTTTCACAACCGTTTATGTCATTATAGTTTCAAACACATGATTTCATTTTTGTATCCATGTTTTAATTAATCCCTTCCAGTAAAGTTGACACGAGTAAACTAGACGATAAAGACTAAACAAAGTGAGCAGGATAAGCGTCGGTTGTCTCTTGGTGAGACAAAGCTTGGTGCTCGGTCTGCGTGGTTCAAAGTCTGACAGGTTCCAGGAGTACAAATAAAAATCGGCTTTGACAGTTTAATCAATTGTGCGCACAAATGTGCAATAACGTTGGTATTTATGTCGCGTTCAGTTTTGTTTGCAGTGTGGAAAAAAAAAAAAAAAGAACGTGAACATGACACTGAAATTGAAACAAGGGTTTAGAAACCTTCTACAAATTACAACATGTGGCTATAATGTTATATTGTCTGTGTTGGTACAATAATCACAGCAAACATTGACGTCTGCTGTCAGTTTCATTCTAACAGATAAATTAGAAACATGCCTGTTTGTATAAGATGAGAGGAATGTAGTCCTTGTGATATTTTACTGACAGTTCCAGCTCAGAGTTTGACTTGCTTCAATTAAAATGAGGCTGTGGTGTCGAAGTTCTGCCTCTGAGGAGCGTTTTAAAACGGTTTGATGGACGTTTTAATGCAACTCACATACGGTTGTTTACAGCGTACAGTGCCAGTTCACTACAAAAGTTGTCTCAGGGCACTTTTACAAGACAAATAACAAGTTCAAGAACTTATTGATCCTAGAAGCAAGAAGTTGCTGAACTCAAATTATGATCTGTTGCTTGTTCTCGGACAGAATAAAGTCTGTCAGCAAGTCTGTGTGCGAGGATGAAAGGTACTCATTGCAACGTCAAGTAGACTGGTAAATAAATAAATAAACTTCACTAAGATGCAAAGTACCATGTGTTTGTTTACCTACAGAAACAGCCGAAGTGACTGAAAACAGTTCAACAGTGATGGTGTCCACACTGTTTCAGCCTGCGAGCTCCTTTTAAACTGACCAAGTCAAAGTGATGGACCCGCTCTAAGGCCACGTTTACACAGAACAACCTCTGGAAACATTGGTGGTGGTTTTATTTTATGTTTATTGGGGGTAATAAACAAAAGATGAGCAGGCTTACATGAAAACACTGTAGTTTCCACGTCAGTCGGGTTGCCAGATAAGAAAAGTACTGTGACTTTAAAGTGATAGTATTTTGATCTAAACTGTCATATGTGCTGAGTAAAGATTCATTCAACCTTTATTTATACAGGTTAGTCCCAATGAGCCTCGAGGACTCATTTACAAGAGAAACCTGATTTTAGCAAAGAATAATGACGACAGTAGACAATCTTAAAAGAAAACATGTAAATTGAGAAGAACAGATGAAAGAAAATGATATTAAAAACAACTAAGCAAAAACAGCTAGGTTGTAAGGCGGAGTAAAATATTGAAACGGGAACATGTCTGCACTGGTTTTTGTCAGGAACTTATCAGATGTTTGAAGCCACTTAGAGAGGTCAAGGTCGAGAGCTTCACATCTTTTTTGCAAGATATTCCAGGAAACAGGAGCAGAGTAGGAGAAGGTCCTTTTGTCTAGTTCAGTTCTCAAGAAGTGGTTTAAAGATGAAAATGTACCAGTGAGAGAGTCTGCGTGAAGTTAATGATGACCAGTTAACCAGTGAATACTGGGTGCAGTGGTGGGTACGATAATCACAGCCAGTTATGAATCTTAGTGCATCTTAGATATTCTAAGATGAGGTGTGTATTGTGTTTGTTGAACATATGCACAAAAAAAGAGTGGGTAAATAAGACGTTTTAAATTTATCTGGCAACCCTGGGCTCAGCCGCCTTCGTTGCTCATGCAGCGTCTTCACGACAGTCCAAACTGGTGAACACACTCACGTCTCTTCGGAGCCTGGATTTTATTAGTTTTGCTCCTACAAGCTGAAAAAGGGTGAACAGCACAAAAACACTCTGCTCTCTGCCGTTTATTATAACTGTTGTTAGTTCAGAAAAACTTTGGCCTGCAGCTGCCTAGAGTGAGCATGTGCCACTTCACATTTGTGGAGCACTTCACCACCGTGGGGGGTGGTGAAGTGGGGGGGGTTCCTCCAAAAATCTCCACTTTGAGACCTGGATTCAGAAACGTTCAGAGAGAATGAGGCTGTTGTCTGTAAACGAACGACTGAACGTTTCATGTCGTGTAAACGGGCCTCAAACTGGCTGCCCTGTCTGTCATCCATCCATCCATCCATTATCTTTACCCGCTTATTCCATTTTGGGTCACGGGGGTCGCTGGTGCCCATGTCCAGCAATCACTGTGCGAGGGGCGGGGTACACCCTGGACGGGTCGCAAGTCCATCACAGGGACACATAGAGACAAACGAAACAAACAACCATTCACTCTCTCACTCACACCTAGGGACAATTTAGAGTTACCAATCAGCCTAACATGCATGTTTTTGGTCTGTGGGAGGAAACCAGAGCACCCGGAGAAAACCCACGCATGCACGGAGAGAACATGCAAACTCCACCCAGAAAGGCCCCTGGACCGGGGTTTGAACCAAGGACCTGCTCGCTGAGAGGCAGCAGCTCTACCAGTTGC